GACTGGACTTGCGACTGACACAGCCAGCGTCTGTCCGGTCTGCATTTGCATTTGCATTGGCATTGGCACAGACAGGCCAGGGTAATCTTACCAACGAAAAGGAAGAAAACCTGCCCATCCATTCGCACGTCTCTGTCTCTGTCCAGGTTACTGCGGCGGCTGCGCACGACGACATATCGCAATTATAATGCCGAGCTTCGGTCGCATTGGGAGGCACAACAACCGCTCGCAACAAGCACTTGTCGAGCCGGTTGGCGGTGCCCCTTCAGCAGGCAACTCACCTACGCCATTATCTGCTGTGCCCGCCGCGCTGTCGGGTGCTGGTGGTCAAGTTCCCCTTCCTCCTTCAGGCCACTCTCAGTCTCACCCTCAAGGCCAAGGTCACGGCCACGGTCTCTCAATCTCCCACTCGCTGGCTCCTGCGCCCGCGCCTACCTCTTCGTCGACCACTCCCACCACCACCAACACCACCACTACTAGCGGCGCTAATAACCCAATTACCCCCCATTCAGCCTCGTCGACCGCCTTCAGCTCCATCGAGTCCTTCGACACCCAAAACCAGCTGCAACATCAGCAGCAACAATTCCAAAATCTTCAACAGCAGCAGCTCCAGCACCAGCAGCATCAGCAAGGGCAGCAAGGGCCTCCTCCACCGCCCCACGATTATCCTGCCTCTGCCTCGCCCGCCGCAGCTGCTGCCTCACGCAACTCCCTCCTCTTGCAGCACAACCCACTGCCGCCCGCCGATTCGCGCCAGAGGGGCCCAGGTCAGCAGCAGGAATTCGCCGACTCCGTCTCCCGCTCCCAATCCCAGCGCTATCCGCCGGCCGTAGCCCCCTACCCCAACACCCAGTACGGCGCAGCCTCCAGCTCTGTCGACAACCTCAGGGCATCCCTCAACAACACCTCGACTGCAACCGCCCAATCTCAGGCAACTTCTCCTACTCCTCAGCCTGCACCCCAGCCCGAGAAGCGCTCTGCACGGAGGTTGCTCAAGAACATTCTGGGAGCGGGCCGAGATCATCACAACACCCCGCCTCCTTCCCAGCAGCCTACCCCGCCAGGCTCCTACGATAACACTGGTGGCCTCGCTCGCCGACCGTCAAAGAGAGTGAGCAATCCACCACCCGCGAGAACCGCATTATCCCAGCAGCCTTCCCAGCTGTCGCTCGATCAGCAGTCGACAGACTGGCCGCTGCCGGCGCTAAATCAGCAACCCTCCCCGCTACAAGGCGTCGGCGAGATCGAGGACCAACACCGCTTTGCCCAAGATCCTAACAGAGACCATCGTCTGCAGACCCCCGATTCCCACCGCAATTCCATTCGTTACGTTCCCAGCGATTTAGACAATACCCCTTACGAAGACCCTGCATATCTCCAGCAGCAGCAACAGCAGCTGCACGCTTTGCAAGACCAACACCAGCACGCCCTGCAGTCTGCTTACGACCCCTCCCAACACCAGTACCAGCAGTACTCCCAGCAGCAGGCTGGTCAATACCAAGGCGGACCGTCTCCCATTCACACTGGCCACCTGGGTACCGGTTCTCACCAAAATCCCGAGACCGTTTCTCAGTTGTCGCATGAATCACCGGTTACTGATTCAGACGCTCGCTCGGCAAACGTCCAGTCCGCACAAACCTCCCCCGCAGTAAGATACGCCGTGCAGACCACCGACAACCCGCTGCCTCCTACACTCCCACCCGCCCAAGGCAGCTCTCAGCCTCAGCAGCAAAATATGACGCCCCCTGCTGGAGGCCCCCCTCCGCGATCCGAACGACGACCCCAAGCAGAGACGGAGAAGACGTTGCGAAGTCAGGTCGACGCACCCGGTGGCCCCCCGCCGGGCTACAGACAGAGTCAGACTATGCCTACCACTGGTGCTGCTGCTGCGAACCCGGCCTTCCGTACGGGTAGCGCTCAAGAAGGCCGCCAGTTCGAGGGGTCTGGGGGAGAGCAAGGCCGCAACAGCCCTCAGCCGTCGAACCCTGACCGCGACGGCACCGATCCTGACAAGTTCAAGGAGCTACGTAAGGTAGTCGCAAGCATTGTGCTGGCATGCGCTAACAGCTATCAGTCACCAAGTACAAGAACGTTAAGCGCCTTTACTTCGATGGCAAGACACAGATCGACAACCTGAACTCCCAGATCGAGCAACTGCAGAATGCCGTTGCGAACCAGCGAATGTCACAGTCCCGCACCGCTCTCGACGACAGCGAGTACATCACCAGGTTCAACCGTCTCAACGGCGCCATCAACAACCTGTCGTTCAACATTCGCAAGGATTGGCGCACAGTGCCGCAATGGCTGGACATGTACGTGAGCATCGACGCTCTGAAGACCGGCAAGCAAGAGATGACGGCAGTCGGTCGTGCTGTCATCACGAGGTGGATTGTAGAAGAGATCTTCAACAAGTGCTTCCACCCGGGTCTCAACTTCGACCTCAGCCGGCAGTTGAAGGATATTGAGCTCAATATCCGGCGGTTCTCATACACGATGAACAGCCAAGAGGAGTTCGACGCCTTGACGAATAAGGTCGTAAGCTGGCGTATGGCAACCCTGGAGGGTCTTCAGAGGGCTTTGAACTCCCCTGAGAGCGCAGACAACAGAGCAGACTTCACCCGCATGTGCACGTCAAACCTCACGGCAACGCTGTTCCAGTACATGACAGATCCGCCGCCGCCTGGTGTAGATGGCAGCGCGTCCATGATCGTGGAGTTGGCAGTAGGCATCGCCGCCAACCTGCCGCTGGAGAGCAGAGACGTGGCCATTACCTACCCGCTGCCTGGAGATCCCATCAACCCCAACATTATGGAGGTAGAGAAGGCGCCTCTTCCGCCGCTGGAGACGCAAAAAGAAGGCGAGGAGGCCGCGGATGATTCTGACAAGGATAAGAACGGCAAGGACCGGCGGGCGGACAAGACCAGAAGCGGTATGTTCACAAACATTCTCGGTGGCGGACCGCCTCGAAAGAGCAGCAATGCTTCATCGATCGTACCTTCAAGTACTGATGCAGCTCCCCCTTCAGCGCTTCCACCCAAAGACAACAACAAGGTGCGGCTCGCCGGCTTCCCCGCAGTGGAAGTCCGGGGCCGTCAAGTGTTGGTGAAGGCGCCTGTCTGGACGCTCTGAGGACGCTGGAGGTGTTGAAGAGAGAGGACCGGAAGAGACGTCTCTGGGGCTGCACGACGGCCCGCATGAAGGAGGAAAACCTTCGTTGATGACGCTATCAAACAAGAAGAGCTTTGGGGGTGGAAGAATACGTTGGTTGGAGCTAGTCACTATTGAGAAGAAAGGGGATGGAGACTAAGAACCAACACCACGGAATGGGCTAGGGGCGATATTTCATGACTGAAGATTCACATTCATACCAGGACGGTATGCTTGGACGCTGGGGTATCTCTCTCTGAAGGGGAGCGCCTAGATAGTTGCCAAGGTACCTCCAAGTTGCTTGCTTTCTCGCTCTAATTACTCTCCCCGTCTTCGTCATCACGCTCCCTGTGCCCCCAGATATCCGCACCGAACTTCCGGTTTACGACTCGAATCTCCTCGTGGCTCGATCAAGACGCAGGGAGCCCCGTCAAAGGGACACTGTAGTGATGTTAACTGTTGTCCGACGTATCCCCCAACGCATCTGAAAGGGGGGCTACCACGTACCCTATTGTAATCGGCCGGACAGACCTGGTCGTCGCGGCTTGCGAGATGGCACTTGTTGCTCATTTGTGTGCAGGTCTACAACGCATCGTTCAGCAATCACGGCTCCCTACACGCTGGTGAGTATGGTGGACTTACACCTCTCGTCCTGGTCTCATCCTGAGACTGTCTGACTTCGAAAAAGGCCAACCTCCTCGCCGAGGCCGTGCCGAGGATCAAGAGCGCGGCGAGAATAAAGAGGTGGAAGTTGAACACGGCCATAGTCTTTCCTTCCCTTGAAACTGCCTGGGATTATCGAGGACGTTATTGGTGCGGTTGAGGAGAGGGGATAGAGTAGGTACGCGGCTGTGTGGTTGTCAAGCGAATGTAAGTCCTGCTCTGCACCAAACGAAGGGCAGTTGAATCAGAACAGAACGAAACTCTTTCGCCCAGGCGCCCAGGAAGAGAGGGTGCGGGGGGGAGTTCATCCTCTTTTTCTAACACAAACAGACACACACGCACACACACTCACGAGGCACGTCCACGGGTGCGGTGCGGGAAGAACAGACGAAACGTCACCTTATTGCACCCGCGCGCAGTGGCGATACATTTTTGCCTACATCTTTGAGGTGGTCACACAAGCACACACAGACCCTTTCCCCTCCGCAGAGCCAGCAAAAAGAAGCTCACGCATTGCGCGTTTCTTGTTTCCCCGTCGGCGAGGACAAACATGACTGCAACATTGTCGTCTCTAGTTGTCGTACTCGGTCGGAATGCTCGTGTGGTTGCAGTCGCCCTCCCGTCTTACGTAGATGTCATACGAATGGATCATTGCGGGAGGGGGAAACAGAAGGGAAACATCGGGCGGAAATAATCACATTACTATCCTCCCTGTGATTGCCATTCATTCGTTCCTCTGTGTGCAATTACCAGCTTGGCTCAAGATGACAGGTGCGCCCAAGTCGAAGAGCAGTCATTGCTCCGGAGCTTCACAACACATCAGAGTTCCAACCCACCTGCCACTGAAGCTACCTACCTACCACCCTACCTTACCCTGGGTCCCTACCAAAAGGCAGCCCCTCCTCCATCGGGCAGCGAGGGGTTGCTTTGCATGGTTTGTGCTTGAAAAGAGGAGGGAGGGGGTGGGGGCCGTCGGCTTAGGACTTGACTTGGCCGTCTCACCGCCTGCCGCTTCCAGCATGAAGCGGCGGAAACACCCCGCCAAAAAACACAATTCGCGATGGCATCAAAAAACCGGGTTTGGCCAGTGTCGTCGCATTGCGTGGTGACTGCATAGTTTCTCTTCTCCTCTCGCCTTAACCGCTTTGTAGAAAGAACCACCGCGGCATCACAGAATACCATACTTAAGAATGGCTTCTCAACCCACCCACCTGGAGCCCTCCAAGCTCGGAACAAAAGAATAGTACTGCCTCCCCTCCTCACCCCCGGACTCCCACTCCCAATCTAACCGATGGGAACAACAGTTGGTCCTCTCTTTACACGACCGAACTCACAAACCACGCCTCCGACCCGACCGACCGCGGCACCGTTTGGTTCGACGACTCCGATGCCGAGTCCAAGCTCCTCACCTACCTCGAGGACCTGACCGAGTCCGCCGCCTTCGACCACTCCCTCCGCCAGCCCGACGCCACATTCCTTGACCTCGGCTGCGGCAACGGCTCCCTCCTCTTCGCCCTCCGCGACGAGGGCTGGCACGGCCGAGCCCTCGGCGTCGACTACGCGCCCCAAAGTGTCGAGCTCGCCCGCCGCATCGCCCGCCAGCGCGCCGAGGCCCCCAAGGAGGGGGAGGATGAGGACATGGCCGACGGCGACGAAGAGGAGGTGGACGTCAAGGAGCCCGAGTTCAACGAGTGGGATCTGCTCAACGGGCCGTGGGAGACCGTCCTGAACGGCAGCCAGCAGGAGGGCTGGGATGTTGTGCTCGACAAGGGAACCTTCGATGCCATCTGCTTGAGCGACGAGAAGGATGCGCAGGGCCGGAGGATCTGCGAGGGTTACAGGGGTCGCGTCTTGCGTCTTGTGAAGCCCGGTGGCCTGTTGCTCATCACGAGCTGCAACTGGACCGAGGAGGAGCTCAAGGCGTGGTTCGAAGGCCCCGCGAGAGAGGGCGACGTCGGAAGGTTTGTTGCCGTCGGCAAGGTCGATTATCCCAGCTTCACCTTTGGCGGCGCCAAGGGCCAGACGATTAGCAGTTTGTGCTTCCAGAGACATGCCTAGACGCATGCCATGATGCAATGATTTGACGAGTAAAGAGAATCAAAAGAAAGATATGAATACCCCATGATCACGGCTGACCTCATGTGCTCGTTGCAACGCGTTCTTCTGACTGCTGCTGTGTATCATACATTGGTTTCTTTTTTATTGGGGAATCCAGGCAGCGTCACCTACCCTCAACTTTCCTCCACTTCTACTCCGTCATGCAACCGATGCCCCGGAGCCGACCCTCCTGAAGTTCTCCTTGAATGACCTCTGAACATCCGTTCCCGTCTTTCTAGTCTCTTTTTTTATTTTGCGATCCGAACAGGCCAGCTAAAGAAGCACCATAGAACTGTCGTGTTGCCGAAGCATGCAAGGTTAAGAATGTTGGGGCGGGCTCGGGTAAAAGATTGGGAATTGCTTCATTACGTCTCTCATCTATGGTGATGTATTCATAGGTTCGCCAGCAGTAGGTCCAGTCACGCTGTTCGCGGACGTTGTCGCAAAGTACCGCACGTCGACGTCGTCGTCCTTTTGCAGCTTCTCGAGCTTGGGGATGACGCGCGACTGGATCAGCTCCATACCTCTAGGGGACGGGCTGAAGCTGGCACCCTCCTTCTCCAGCGAGTAGATGGTACCCTCTTCCGGCAAACGGCGAAGGACGTCGATGAGAACGCCGTATGTCTTGGCAACATTGAAGCGAATGTTGGGAATCTCGTCGTCAACCAGCTTGTCGAGCATCGGGAGAATCTTGTCGGCGATGACGTCCATGCTGACGACCGAGGCGAGAGTCTACTAGATGTCAGTACGTATAAGCTGTGAACGGTGCGAGGATACTCACCGTGATGGCGAAGCAGGTTGTCATGCGGTAGAGGTAGTTGGGGTGGTTGCCCATAGCCATAACCTTGGGAATGATTGCCTCACTTGCCCATTCAACCCCGAAAACCTCAGTCAGCTTCTTCAAGTTGTGCGTCGCAGCCTCGCGAATAGAAAAGACCGTGTCACCCAACCAGCTCATGCACAGGTTGCCCAGCTTCTCGTCGAAGAACTTGACGCCGAGCTGGCTCGCGAGCAAAGGAATGTACTCGATAATCGCAAGCCTCACGCGCCATTGCTTGTCCTCCGCAAGCTGGGTAATCGCGGGAAGGAGAGATTGCGAGAGCAGGTCAATGCCAATAACTAGAATCAGTCAGCTTTGAACTCGTATCTGCTGGGTTGTCACATACCCTGATTGACAAGCTCAAGCTTTGAGATGATGTGAAGACGGACTTCGGGGAACTCATCCTTCAGCATCTGCAAGAACATGGGCAAAAGGTGGTCGATAGTCCTGGAACACGTTAGTCTCATACGTACGCTGTAAAGCGCTCCCCGCAGCCAAGAAACTCACTCTTGCTTGCCCAGGATGGGTGCAAGACCACTAATCTGCGTTCCAAGAGCAGCTCTGACGTGCTGAGAGGTATCGGAAACGAGATCCTCGACACTGCCCATGATATCGTTAAGAAGCACAGTCCTGTCGACCAGAGCGCAGAAGCCGGGTATTTGGCCAGCGATCGCAGTGCGGACCTCGGCCTCGTTGTCCTTCAGCAGCTTGACAAAGGACGGAACCAGATCTCTCGACACGACCTCCTCATCGACAGCTTTGGAAATCTGCGCGCACATTTAACATCACCTCTTCTCTTGATCACCGACGAACTCACCTTCTCAAATCTGTCCGCAATCATGTATCGAACCCTCCAGCTCTTGTCCTCAATCAGGTTGCGCAGAGAAGTAAGGAGGACGCCGTGGCTAGACTGCTGCTCCTTGGGAACGACTTCGGCGATGGAAATGAGGATTTCGACGGTGAGTAGGCGGACGGAGTCCTGGTCGTCTTGGGCGAGGTGCTGGAAAAGGGGTATCATCTCCTCAACAACGACGGCGGCCGGCATCTCCTTTACGAACTTTGACAGGTTGGTGGCAGCCTGACGTCTGACCATGGGTGTCTCATCGTGGACGAGCTGGCCAAACTGCTTCCGAAGCTCTTCTTGAACGCCGGGAGAAACCTTCTTGTAGGGGGTTGTGTAAAGGCCGCAGCCAGAGACCTTGGAGGTGAACCAGTCTGCTTTTGATAAACGGACCGTCAAGGGAATGAAGTATTCTTCGACTTGTTGGGAGGACAGCTCCTCGCAGATCTTGTTGAGGGACTCGACGGCCTGTGCTGGTTAGGCGACGTAGGTTGCAGGTGGAGAAGGGGGCGATAGCTACCTTGTCCCGCACGACGGGCTCCTCTATGGCAGCGAGGTTCTCGAGGGGAGATAGGAGGACGTGGCCCCATTGAGGGCCTCCGACATATTCGATGAAGTTGCCAAGCTCGCCGCTGAGAGCGACCAAGACCTCATCCTCGTCCTCGACAGATTCTAGTAGGTTGTTTAGATATGGCTCAAAGAGGGATGGGATGCGCGACACTAACCGTCGAGGAAGGGGATCAGCTCCTCGCGCGTGCGCTCGGCGCCCAGGGCGAGGGCGATAGTAGAAAGGCGGTGGATGGCATTGAGGCGCAGGAGGACATCGTCGTGCTGTATTTAATCTGTCAGCATCGAAGGTGCGCGGCGGGTGGATGGATGGTGGTGGTGGTAGCAGCAGGCTGGTCGGGCAGGAGGCCGAGGACGGGCAGGGAAGAGGGACAGTCACCGCCATACCTTTAGCTCGTCGATGAGGACGGCGATGGGGTAAAGCTCGTCCTGGGTATTCGGCGCGTCTGCCATGGCGAGCAATTCGGGCGCAGGCGCGTCTATCGATGGGTTGGTCGAAGGATGTGAAGGGGAAAGGTTGTCGACGTCTTTTGGGCGATCGGGGTGGATCGCGTGCGAGTGATGCAATGGGTTGGTTGAGGGCGAGCGACGGTCGTTGTGGGATGGGGGGCTCTAAAATCTGAGACGACGCAACCGGGATGGTGGATGGTAATTACTACGAGGCGGAGGTTGCAGGTGAGCAGACCATGCCACGATCCGAAGGGCGGGTTGGCGGCAGAATCAGCAAGATATCGCGGCAATGGTGGAGAAGGAAAAAGGTGGTGTTGATTTCAGATGGTGGACGGAGGCAGCGAAGGGCAAGGAGAGGCAAGTTTGACGACGCCGTTCTGTTCTGGTCTGGTCTGGTCTCTGGCCGCTGGACGGGAGGTCGACCTGACGTTTCTGTCCTGTGCTGCTCGCCGGGCTGGGTTCTGCCAGCCAGTCCCACCACCGCAGCGTGGCCAGTGAGTGAGATGCAGCGTGCTAAAAGGTGGGCTAGCAAAGCTTCCACTGATCAACAAATGCCATGCCCTGCCCGAAGGTACACTGTATCTGTGACCACGGGCGGCACCTCAGGGCAGCGTCCAGTGCCCAGCTGAGATCCAATGCTGCCTTCCATTAGGTAAGGTACGTACTTTCCGGGCTGGATCTTGGAGCCTTGGACGACGTAAGGCAGGGGTGCAGTTCACAGTGGCTCTTTGGTGAGGGGAGGGGCTGCCTGCCTCTTGCCTCTTCTCAGGCGAGCAGCGCAAGCCTGCCTACCTACCTTGGATACGAAGTTCTTTCTGCAACGCATCTTCATCGTTCTAGAAGGAAGGAAATGCACAAATTTCCCTTTTCATGCCAGAATGGCAGGATCCTACGGTGTAAACAGAACATGATCCTCCCGAGGCCTGCAGCAGAACACGGCCTTTCGATCAAGCACCAGACGAAAACTCCATGCAAGAGACTCACACTTGATGGAGGGGCGATGACGAGGTGCAGCTGAGCTACAAGTACGTGTATGAGCTGCAAGTGCTTCGCCCAGAGGCACCTGCCTCACGGGTATGGCCTCCGTGCGCTGGTGACGATGCTTGATTCCAGAAACCAAGCGCGCGCTTCACGCATGGAGACGTCACGTCAGGCTTCTGTCAAATGCAAGGCAACGCCAACAAACATGGAGCTCTCTCGTCTCTCACCTCGTGTCTGTTTCTCGGGCAAAAACATGTGGAACTGGAATGTAGAACATATGGCTGCGTCTGGGCGCGGACGCACTGGTCGCCAGCTGTCATCAGGAGCCAGCATCAACGACGACAGATCAGTCCAGCCCGTGGCTGCCCGTCCCGGTCTCGCTTGCCAAGCACGAGCCACATCGGACCCTGGAAAATTGAGATGCCGAGTCTGCCCGCCGCTTTTGCAGCCCCTCAACCCCGCACTCCCTCAATTGGCGCCAGGACCACTCCGATGACTCTTTTGGCTGCGTAAAGCAGCAACTTCATCCCGCCAGTGACCCTCTGTACATGCAGTTGCTTGACCTCCGACAATCCCCCAAAATTTCTGTGACTCAAGGCCACTCGGAGAAGGACAGCGACCACTTCACGGAGCCTCTCCCGCCCTCTGACGACCGCCGGACCGATATTTCCTCGAGAGATTCTCGTCAATTCTCACCATGCCTACCATCGCCGTTAACAAGTACGATTTGTACAAGGCCCTGGGCCAAAAGTGAGTCGCGCCGCGGTCGCACCGCCTGTCCAGACCCAGATCACGACCCCGCCATCCCGAGTGCCCCTCCGCTAAACATCACCGCGCACAGCTTCACCACCCAGGAGTTCGAGGACCTCTGCTTCGAATTCGGTATCGAGCTCGACGAAGACACCGAGAATGACGAGCGACCTATCGTCAATGGCGTGCAGGAGCCGCCCCAGCTCAAGATCGAGATCCCCGCCAACCGATATGATATGCTGTGTTTCGAGGGAATAGCGCTCATGCTCAACATCTTCAGGGGAAAGGTCGCCCCCCCAAACTACAAGGTCGTTGAGCCTAAGGAGCCCGAGACTCAGGTCATCACCGTGGCCCAAGATACCAGCAAGATCCGTCCCCTCGTTGCCGGCGCTATCCTCAGAAACGTCAAGTTCACCCAAGAAAGCTACGACTCCTTCATCGGCCTCCAGGACAAGCTGCACATGAACCTGGCGAGACAAAGGACATTGGTGGCTATTGGTACTCACGATCTTGACACCATTCAGGGCCCCTTCACGTATGAGGCGCTGCCCCCCAAGGACATCAAGTTCAAGCCCCTGAACCAGACCAAGGAGATGAATGGCGAGGAGTTGATGCAGTTCTACGAGGGCGACAAGCACCTTGGCAAGTACTTGCACATCATCAAGGACTCGCCTGTCTACCCCGTCATCTACGACAAGAACCGCACCGTTTGCTCCTTGCCGCCCATCATCAACGGCGACCACTCCAAGATCACCGTCAACACGACAAATGTCTTCATCGAGATGACAGCTACCGACGCCACTAAGCTCGACATCGTTTGCGACATGATGGTCACCATGTTCTCTCAGTACACCGCCGAGCCTTTCACCGTAGAGCCTGTCAAGATCGTCTCCGAGCACAACGGTGCCTCAAGGACGACGCCCAGTCTCGAGCCCCGCACTATCGACGTCGAGATCGACTACCTCAACGCCTGCACTGGCCTGAACGAGTCACCCGAGACGCTTTGCAAGCTTCTCACCAAGATGGCATACATCGCCAAGCCGTCAGAGAAGGACAGCAACCTTTTGAGTGTCACCATCCCAGTTACCCGCGCCGACGTGTTACACCAGTGCGACGTTATGGAGGACCTCGCCATTTGCTACGGCTACAACAACCTCCCCAGATCCTCTCCCAACAAGAGCGCGACCATTGGTGCGCCTCTTATGATTAACAAGCTCGCCGATATCATCCGGAATGAGGCCGCCATGGCTGGCTGGAGCGAGGTCTTGCCCCTGATTCTGTGCAGTCACGACGAGAACTTTGGTTGGTTGAACAGGAAAGACGACGGCAAGACCGCCGTAAAGCTCGCCAACCCCAAGACTGCCGAGTACCAGGTCGTTCGCACATCTCTGGTCCCTGGTCTCCTCAAGACTATTCGCGAGAACAAGAAGCACAGCGTACCCATCAAGATCTTCGAGGCTTCCGACGTCGTCTTCAAGGATGAGTCCCTGGAGCGCAAGGCTCGCAACGAGCGCCACTTTGCTGCTGCGTGGTACGGCAAGACCTCTGGTTTCGAGATCGTCCACGGTCTCCTGGACCGCATCCTGCTAATGCTTCGCACCGCCTTCCTCACTCACGACGAGGGTCTGACGGCTGGCAAGAGCCTTGACTTCAAGGTTGCCGAGAACCCCGGAAAGCCGGACGGCTACTGGATCGAGGAGATTAACGAGGACACCTTCTTCCCTGGCCACGCGGCTGCCATTTACCTTCGCCTTGGCGGCAAGGAGCAGCGCATCGGCGAGTTTGGCATCCTGCACCCCACCGTGCTGGAGAAGTTTGACTTGAGGTACGACCCCCCCCCTTGACTGCGATAGAGAATGCATATTAACCAACATAGATACCCCGTGAGCACCCTTGAGATCAACCTTGAGGTCTTCCTGTAGTGATGAGCATGATGGGACATGTGGACATGACGGTTGGCTACGGAATTTTAAAAAAATAAAATTAAAAGTTTGGCGATGCGAGGGCAGACAGACATAGACTTGTTCCCTGGACCAGAAGTGGGCCCAAAATATTGCCGGATAAAGTAGACTGAAGACCAAAAAAAGATCGAAAGAAAGATGCCGTCTGTTGTTGCAAGGTGTTGCATCCATGACAGCTTGCCTGTGTGAGGAACATACTCAGTATGCCAGTGTTCGTTCAGACTTCACAAGGAAAGCAAGACGCGACTTTAACTAATTAGAATTAAGAAACTTCTCAAAGAGTACGGGGAGTTCAAAACCGAAGGCGGATCTATATAATGAGCCCCAAGTGCATCCCTTTCCTGCTCGGTCGGACGCGTTCAATTGCTCCGCACCTTTTGTTTTCCAGACCCTTCCCATCTGTATTGCCCTATCCTTCTGCCCCTGGACCAACGCTCTTTGAATGCAGGTCGTTTCGCCTTGACGCCAGAAAGCAGTATCGGCATGTCTCTATTTGCCCCCCTGCGGAACCCCTGCGGAAAGAGGCCGAAAGCGAAGAAACAAAATGGTCGTAATAAATGTACAAAACTCCTAGTGGCGTGTCATGAAAACCGTGAAAGTGTCGAAGGCCTCTCTTTTCTCACTTCTCCATTCGTACAAACTTTTCTCGTTTGCACTTTGTGTTTGTTGGAACGATCAAAATTTGAACTGAACGCCTTAGACGCCATCTTCACTGGGAACCCATTTGAATCCCGTGCAAGATACTGCCGTTATCAGCTGAGGGGGCATCTTCATTGTCTTCCACCATGACAAAGACGCTGTCGTCGGCCATTTCATCGAAGCTGTTGTCAAGACCGTCAGGGATGAGGTCGCTCTCGGTTATGGGGACGATGGTGTCCTCACAAAGGTTCATGTCGTCGCTGTCGGCCGTGGACATGCTGTCGCTGCTCATTTGGCTGCCATTGGTGGTGTCGCCACTGATGCTGGTCTCGTCGCCACTGCTCTCGTCGCCGCTTGTCTCGTCGAAAGTACCGTTCATCGTGTAACCAGCAGGCGGCCACTCATTGTCGGACTCCTCGCCGATCATGTACCCGTGAAAGCTCATGACGCCCCAGTCCAGCATGCCTTGACTACCCCAATCTAAGGCAGACTCCAAATCCGACTCAGAGACTGTCGCCGCATCGGCAGAGTTCGTGGCTACTGACATATTCTGCGGTATCTTCGCCAAGTTCGCTGCGTTCAACTTTGAAACAGTCTCCGTCAGCACTTTTGTCATCCCCGCCAACTTCACTCCCACCTCTGGGTCTCTCTTCGATTCCGGCATTGACTCACTGTCGCTCGGGTAATCAGGATCCCAGTTCTCCCTATGGTAGAGGTCTGCATCGAAGAGCATAGTAGATTCGGTCTCTTCGATCAGGTAGGGCGGGTCGGGCAATTGCGCGAAATTGACACCCTAAGTCATCTCCCGTAGCTCTTGCTCGCCGCGAGTCGGGACCCTCGAGGTTGAGGCTGGACTGCCATTGCGATTGTTGGTACCCAGGTTGTTGAGCATGCCGGTGACGTTGCGACCAATATTGAGGTTTGCGATTCCGTCCGCAATGCCGTCTCGAATAGACGAGAAGGCATTCGGGTTCTCAGCCGAGGCACTCCGTTGAAGGTGTCGCTCCTGTCCCTGCTCCAATCGTCGTCCCTGGCGTTGCTCCTCGGGTGTCAGAGCGGTGTGTGATGATTCCACCGCAGCGAGAACAGACTGGCTAGCCGCCAGCGAGGGTGGCTTGGAGCCGGGAGTGTCGTCAGGAGGTGTGCCAGGATGGCTGCTCGCGTAGGACTCTTCAGTCGCCGGCTGGAAGTTGGCCATGGCCGAGGCCTTGTTCTGAGCCTGCGCAGCTGTGGCGTGCAGGTTCGAGTTCATCTCCTCGTCAGACCGGTTGAAAAGCTGGTGCCACCAGATAATATCCTTGAGGTCTGTCTTAATGATCGAATCACGACCCTTGACGTATTCGTCAATGGTGGGATCGTAATCCTTGTTGATGAACTCCTGCTTGCGAGCCAGGAAGTAGTCCCAGACAGACTGAGTGCGCTCAGCAGCACGGGCATCGCGTCTCTGCTTCTCGGAGTTATATAGGAAGGTTCCATACTGGCAAGAGTAGAGGTGGTAGAGCAGCCGGCGAAGAAATCGCTCATTAAACTCAAACTTGGTTGGGTTCTGCCGCAAAAGCTGGTAGACGCAGTCCAAGAATTGGTGGAACACGGGGCTGATCATCTTAGGGACGGTGGCCTCGTCGTTGGCAACCTTGCCAGTCGCTGCCTCGCCAATAGCGTCAAGCTGCTCCGTGGGGTCATCCTTATTCTGGTTGAAGAACCGGCGCGCTCCGGCAATGACGTTCTGGAATGCGTCTGCGCGGCCGTCATTCTCGCCAGGCTGGACGGTTTGACCAGCCATGCCATCTCTCTGAACATTGAACCAGCTCTCATGGTTCAAGGGTCCAGACCGCAGTCTGAACATGTGGCCAAAAGACAACCAATCCTTCTCCACCAGAACCATGAATCCCTCAATGGTACGGAAGTACGGGTCCAGGAGGATCTGAGCAAGGGCGCTGAGCTGACTTGTGCGGTCCCAACCATCAGAGCAATGGATCAACACATGAGAGTGCTTGTACCAGATCTGTCGAGCAATAATCTCAGCACCGTTGAGCACTGCTGCGGTGTGCTTGAGCCAGCCAGTTGCAAAGAGGGTGTTTTGGTCAGGCGGCAAGGGCGAGACATCTGCGTCTTTGATGCAGTCCACAACCTTGTTCAGAGAGTTTCTCATGACGTGAATGTTCTCAATGTTCATAAAGGCCTTTGTGGCACCAGGGTAGCGGTCCATGGGCTCCGATCCCATTCCTTGGACTTGGTTGACCATAGCGTTGACAGTGGGCCGGGCGTCGACAATCATGTTGGCTTGCTGAGCTCCATAAACAAGCCTCTTGCCAGTCTTCTCGTCGTAAACCTTGGGCGCAGCATCCTCGATGATGCTCTCCTCGTACTTCTCGAGCTCTGAAAGACTGGTGGTCTCCGAAGCCGGCAACTGGGGAGGCTGCTCGGAGTCGACGCTGGTCCGGGGAACACGCTCCGCGAACGACGCCAACACAAGCTTCTCGTCCTGAACGTTGTTTTTCCTGGTGATGCCCGACAAGGGCTGGGCGCTGCGAGTAATGGTGCAGTTGTTGACCTTGTGAATATAGCTAAGAGCCGGGATGCGGTTTCTAGAGCGGTAATCCTTGGCGTACTTGAGGACATTATCGGAGATGGAAGAGGGAACCACAAGAACGGCAGGGTACGTGTCGCAAAAGGTATAGTCCTTGTTGATGTTGCTGATTCTCCATCCCAAGTCCGCCGACTTCTCGCTAATACCCTGTCGACGGAACTCGGCTCTCGGATCGTAGATGTGCCAGCCATTGACGTGCTTTTCGACCTTGGAGGGCTTATGATGGAACGCGAAGAGCGACTCGACGGAGGGAAGCTTGCAGGTTCGGGCCTTGATGAACTCGAACACCTCCTTGGCAGCTTTGTCGTCTTGGAATGTGAAGGTGACGAAGACGAAGTCGCGACAGCGGATGCGGATTGAGCTATGAATGCCAGTGGTCGGGGGCATGAGCCGGAGTTGCACATTTGACAGGATAGGAAACGTAATCCATGATTCGCGAGTCTTGGGTGCTTGGTTCGGCGGTTGAGGGAGCGGTTGGTCCTTTGAGGCTTTGACCGGGACGCAGTAGACGAGGTGGTAGTCGGTCAGACGAAGGGTGCCGGTGGAGGTGACTCCGCCGCTGATGCCCTGGACGTTCTCGACCACCTGTTGGACAACACGTTAGTACACCTCTTTTTGGGAGATGGAGAGCGGGAGGGAAGGAAGCAAAATATTAATTCAGCTGAAGGGTCGCGTAACTTGCCTTTCGGGCCTCCATATTGAACTGCGAGTGATGATATTGCTTTTTAGCTAGAGGAGCATGGCCGCGCGGGATATCCGGAAGGTAAGGGAGCGTCGTAGGTAGGTCGGCAGGTTAAATCACTCGAAGAGGGCAGCTTGTGAGGCCGCACAACTCCTTCGAAGTGAGCTTGAGCAAGAGAGAAGAAATGCGAAGGGGAGAGATTTTCGTTGGACCGCGCGGCGTTGGATTTTGGAGGTTGCGCAAGTCAAGCAAGGTTTGGGATAAGGTAGAGGTCGGGTCAGTGGTCAGGTCGGCTGCTGGTGTCGCAGGGCAGGCGCAGGCGCAGACAGCAGACGCAGGAAGGAGCGACGGGTCGGCTGTGGCCCCACTAGCGAGGGGCTGAAAACAGACGTCACGGCCTTTGGTCCACGGGAGTGCGGCCTGGGCACTGAAGCACTCCAGCTGCTGCAGCTTCCATGTGCTGCTCTTCAGTGACCAGGTCTTTGATGTTTCTGGCCGCTTTGTTTACTTTGGGACGATGAAGATGTTTTTGCTGTTTTCTTGTGAGTTGTCTCTCTGCCTTTCTTTTGATTTTCTCAGGTCGATAGTCTAAGATGTCATTCAACCAAGTCTCTGTCTGAGCAGGGAAATTTACGGGAGCTACCTCCAGCAGTTGCATCACCAGGGACATGTGCTGGACATTATCATCAGGTAAGGATTTTGGCGGTGTGTTTCCCTCTCCTTGTGTGTATCATCATTGTTTGTGCAGCCAGACGTATTTGAGCTAAAACGTAATCTGTTCCTTAAACCATGTTCTGGAAAGCACACCAAAACACATCACCAGCAAACATCGCAACGTGAATCGCAGCTCCAGGTCGAGACGGACTGCCTGAAATGTCACCCACCTGACGTCTTCAGCTGTGTGACCTGTGACCGGCAGCTTCCAGTGACAGCCCAGGGAGCATTCTGCCCCACCAACCCGTGGTGAGCTGGTCGCCCTGGGGTAGGTGTGGCGCGGTGTCTTCAGATGTGAATTTTCTGTGACCCCTTGAAACCCCACACTCCCGTCCCGTCAGGTCCCGCCCGGGAAACGGAAAAGTCTGTCCCGATGGCCGACCTCTAGCCAGCTGGCTGCAGGTGGAAGGTCAGCAAGTCGGCGCTTACCTAAGGCGAGGCGGCGCGTTGCAGGAAAAAAAACCACTTAGACACTGGAGGGAAGGAAAAAAGCACAGACCACGCAGGTCAATCGAGACTCTAGGGCTTCACACAATTTTCCTTCCCACAGCGAGAATTCCCGCTTCTGAGCCGAGCCGGACGAATCGAGCTGCTTTGACAACCTCATCTACTCGCCAACACCACCCCCCGACGACGTCGAACTTCTAACCAACCCGTCCACCTATCCCAACCCCTTTCGACACCGGGCAAAGAAAGTCAAGATGGCTGTTCCAGGCACTCAGATGTAAGCCAATTCCCCCTCCTCTTCCCCGGCAGTGACAATTACACTTTTTTTGCGTCTTGCGCTGGGAGGACGAACCCACCCCCGCCAAAATTCGAGGTTTCGCGATGATGGGAGAAAGGAAGAAAACGACGATGAAGACGAAGAAGAACGGGCCTGGCTTTGCCATCGACTACACGAGCAAACAATGCTGACTTTTGTTTCTTACACAGCTCCAAGCGCAGAAAGTTCGTCGCCGATGGCGTCTTCTACGCTGAGCTCAACGAGTTCTTCCAGCGCGAGCTGGCCGAGGAGGGCTACTCCGGCGTCGAGGTCCGCGTCACCCCCACGGTAACCGACATCATCATCCGCGCCACCCACACCCAGGAGGTCCTCGGCGAGCAGGGACGCCGCATCCGCGAGCTCACCTCCCTCATCCAGAAGCGCTTCAAGTTCCCCGAGAACTCCGTCTCCCTCTACGCCGCCAAGGTCCAGAACCGCGGTCTCTCCGCCGTCGCCCAGTGCGAGTCCCTCCGCTACAAGCTCCTCAACGGTCTCGCCGTCCGCCGTGCCTGCTACGGTGTCCTCCGCTTCATCATGGAGTCCGGCGCCAAGGGTTGCGAGGTCGTCGTCTCCGGCAAGCTCCGTGCCGCCCGTGCCAAGTCCATGAAGTTCACCGACGGCTTCATGATCCACTCCGGCCAGCCTGCTAAGGACTTCATCGACTCCGCCACCCGCCACGTTCTCCTCCGCCAGGGTGTCCTTGGTATCAAGGTCAAGATCATGCGCGGCTCCGACCCCGAGGGCAAGGCCGGTCCCCAGAAGACCCTCCCTGACGCCGTCTCCATCCTCGAGCCCAAGGAGGAGCAGAGCGTCGTCCAGCCCATGTCCCAGGACTACGGTGCCAAGGCCGCCCAGGCCCAGGCCGCCGCCGAGGCGCAACAACAGGAGCAGCAGGAGGGTGGCGAGGAGGCCGAGGCCCAGTCGTAGGAGGCTGTCGAGCCCCAGGCTTCTTCGACCGATGAGGTTGATGACTACCAGCAGTCTGCCAACAACTACCAGCAGCAGCAGCAGCAGCAGTCCAGCATGTTGCACTCTGTTTGGTAGACTGCTATTTTCGGACAACTGTCTCGCTCGCTTCCTTCTTCTCTTTTCTCCAAAAAGATTCGCAATTTGGGAAAAACAAAAAGGTGTCGCGCGAACAGCAAAGGGAGGACGGGGGTGGAATACTACTCAGGCGTCTTGATCACATTTGCATCACTCTGCGAAAAGGGGAATTCGGATAGTTGCGACTGGCTTGTAATGGTACAAACCATGAAATGAGCAACGAAATCATTCAATCAACATGTGTCAATCTCATGTGAAGTGACGTGATGTCTGCCCCCATTCCGTGGAGAGGAACAGAGCAAGAAGCAGTTGTGTGAGATGTGCCCACGACTTCATTAGACCTACGTAAACAATTTCAAGATACCCGCATCATCCGTCCAGCCCGTCTCACTGAGATCATCGAGTTGCGACGGCAATTTTGCTTGTCATACTTAATTCAAGGCTCTGGATGGCCTGGTCTATGGTGCTCAATGCTCTGGACAAGGAATCAAATGCCGTCTCGCCCGGCGAAACAGAGCGTGCCTCTCTCACGCTCTCTTCCCGTTCGCCCTTAATCGTACAACAAGAGGTGCTTCCGCACTTGGAACCATGCAAACCCCGATGAACGCCCCGAATGTCCGTCCCGCCCTGTAATACTCCTCGTGCCGTGGCGGAAGTGAAAATGGTATGGAAAATTGCTTTCTGGTTTCCCACTGCTCCCCTCCTTTACTCGGGGTGCGCCTGCACCTTTTCCGTGGGTCTGTGCCTTTTTCGTTGGATCCGATCATGTCGTGGAGAACTTCTCAGTCATATGGCTTCGAGAGAAAATGTACAATGCTGCCCTTGAAATCGGGCCCTGGGTAAGAGAAATGCTTCGAGAAAAAGACAACTACCGCCTCAACTTCTACCAATAACTAGGAAACAGACTTCCGTGTCTTGCCTCCTCACCTATCGGATCGCTGATTTTGAAGCTCAATGGTCTCGTTGTAGGACTTGGAGTGGCCATTGGCGGATCCATTGCCTCTGCGGTGGTCGATTTCGTCGTCGCTATCATCAGCAAGGTCGGTCAACCCAAACTCGGCTCCAGCCTCCTCGTCGTAGGCTCTCATCAGACCGGTCGTGTCACCGTGGCGGCTGCCAATGCTCATTCGCGGGTCGGTGCTTCTGCGCGCCTGCATGCTAAGGCGAGTCTGAATGGTTGAGACCATGTCCGTGCCCATGGCATCCGAACCACCGCGGCCAGCAACCAGGTGGTGTCCATTCGGGTCGGATCTCGAAAGGTTAAGCAAGTATACACCGGTGAAGGTGACCAAGAAGCCGCAGATCAGGGAGATCGTATTGACGGTGTCGGTGGTGTTGAAACCGCCAAAGAGAATGAACGAGGCGCAAAGGGTCGCGGTCGTGAACGTTACGTAGTAAAGGGGGTTGACGCTACGTGGCACCTGATTAGCGCAGCCCGCGGCCGCCGACGCAGAAAATAGCATGCGACTTACATGTTTGTGGGGAACTGGGCGAGCGCCTTGTTGAAGTAGTTCATTTGGGTCAAGATGCAAACGGCCGTCAGGATCATGAACACGTAAGTCGACGGGTGGGAAAATTGGTTGTTTCCGGCGAATGTGAGCTTGAGGGCAATACCAAAAGCCTTCACAGACATGACGGAGACCGAGCCGACCGTCGAGCAGATCGAGAGGTAAATGAGGGCGTTCTTCTTTCCGTGGACTGGCGCAACCTTGTAGATCATGACAACTGCGAAAACAGTGACCGCGAAGGCGTACAGCAGGAAGCCTGGTACCGTGTTAGCTTCAGTCGCAACGCCGGCTCTGGCCTGCATCGAGACTCACCAGGCTGAATGGCGTAGTGCAGGATCTGGTCAATCGTCTGAATGTCCTCATCTGGAGGCGCATGAAGGACGATGATGACGGCGCCAATCAAGCAAATGGCACTGCCGAGACGGCCCAGAGTACCGAGCTCTTCCCTTAGGAAGTAGGACCCAAGTACAGCTCCGATGAGGACAGATAGAGCTCCTAGAGGTGTGACGAGAATCGCAGGCGCAAAGGCGTAGGCCGCAAAGTTGCAGATTTCTCCGACAACCACTGAACAAGGGTTAGCGACAAGCGCCATCTGAGGGAAATCGCACAAGCTCACAAGTCGTAATACCAGCCCACCATACCGGGCTCTTGAGGTAGACAAAACCATCTCCCTCAAATCCATGGCGCTCTTCCGCTTGCATGAGACCCTATAGCGACCGTCAGTATCGGCGTCGCAAATGATTGATGGGTTGATCGAGGTGGCTCTCGATACCGCGGCAAAAGGTCGCGTACCTTTTTTGTGATCACGAAACTGATTCCTGTGGTTAAGCAATTAGTAAAGAGAGGTCGAGCTGCAGAACAAGTAGCAAATGCGTACCTATGGCTAAACTGGATGCCATGGCCAAGGCCAGGCCAATGTATCTGCGCGGGATGGTGTCAGCGAGCTCTGCTCTCAAGGCCAGGTGGACGCATCGGCATTGCGTAGCGAACGCTTCGTACGCCGAACAGATCGCAAACGTACTTCTCGTCTAACATCATGTTGCCAAAAATGAGCGCGGTACCGGCGACGGAGAGCCAAATGAGCGTCAGGATCTAGCAGATGCGTGCGCCGTGGCGAGGTGGTTGCTGAGAGAGTGTCGTGTCCCGTAGATGGGAGCTGGCGAGGCTCGCGCCGGGCGAGGAAGATGGAGAGGTTGGAGGTAAGGTCGAACGTCGTCAGCAGCGACACATGGAAAGACGATGCAACTCTCGAAGACTCCAGCGTTTGGAAGGCCGAGTCACAGGTTCGTGGTGGAGGGCGATGGTCGCTGGTCTTCGGGGTTCGATCTCGTCGGGTTCGAATCGAGTCGAGGGGGTCGCCTTCGTGGTCTCTCGTCTGGACGGGACAGGTCGGTGGGTTGGCGCGAGTGGAAGGCCGAAAGGAGAGGGAGAGATGTTTCGTGGGATTTTGCAGATAAAACTGTGAGGGCGGTACGTAGTGTGACAGGCCGAGCCTTGATCGGTACCTCGCAACGATAAGGCAAGAGGGCGGCAAGCCAAGGTAGCCTTCAGGTAATGAGGTGGTAGCGGGCAGAGGCGGGTGTGGTTCCTCGCAGTTTGGCAGTGGACGCGGAGTGGGTAGGTGCGTGGTGTCGAGGTCGGGAGGAATGCCAACCAGCCAGATAGGGACAGGTTTGAGTTTCAGAGGCCCCTGTGAAGGGTGGAAATGGTGCCCTGTTGCAAGTCACAAGTCACTCTGGGCAGGAGACAGAGAGAGAGTGTCCAATCTCTGTGTGTGTGCGGGAGAGAGTGAGATGCGTGGGTGCTGGATGCGAGAAGCTGTGGGGGAAGAGTGTCAGAGCTAGGTACCTCTGTAGCCGGGAGGTTAGAGATGATACCTGTGGCCGATGATGTTCCTGGATCAGATTGGCTAAGAGGTTGCTGCGATAGGTCCCTTCTTTTTTCTTCCCCCTAGTCCTCTCTCTGGAAAGAACTTGGCTGCGGCGCAGCGTTGTTGAGTGAGAGTGGGTACATTTATCGACCCCGACTAACCGCTGTAAAAATAAAAGATACTTTATTCGGCCCAGTATCTTACGCGACACGAGGGGCTGAGGCCGAGAGGGGACTGCTAGATCGAGTCTTGGTCTGGCCAGTGAGGTGGGCAGAGGACACCAGGTAAGGTACCTTACAGTGTAGGTACCTTAGGTACCGTAGTGGATGGTGGAGTACGGGGAACGGCGTCGGCGACGGACCACGAGTGACAACGACCAGGACAGACTGTCCACTTTTGGGGGGGACAGCAGAAGCTCAGCCTGCTGCTGCAAGCTGCTGTGGGTAGCGGAGGAGGTCCAGCACCTCTCTAGATTGGTTGACCGTGTGGCAGGTCGCTGGCCGCGGGTGATGTGATGAGGCGAGGCAAAGGCGAGGTGGTGTGTTTTAGCGTGCTGCAGGTTGCAGGGCACTACTGACGACCGACAGGGCAGCGCAGCTGTGACAGTCAGCACAAGACTGAAGAACGGAACGAGGCACAAGGACGCTGCTGATGGCGATGTGCTTCTTGTTACTCTGCTGCCACAAGTCAATCACTCGATTCATGCTGGCTGCTGCTTGTTGGAACTGCAAACTGTCCGTTCCGCTCCCGTACCTACCTACACTACGAACACCGTGGCGATGATGCTTGTATCCCGTCTGTGCATGGAATTGTACGCAGCCTGTACAGATGCTTGACGGATGACGGTCGGAATCAGGAGGATGGAACACCCCTCGCATGCGATTTTGGACGGAAAGCCATTTTCCTGACACAGACAAATTCTGCAGGGACGCCAAGTCTCTGTGCCGAGTCCTGTACCTTTTTTCGTCTCTTGTTTTTTTTCAATGGCTTTCTGTAGTTGCTCAGATAGGGCATTTCTGATTCTATGCATTTTCTCGAACCAGATCCTCTGGATATTCCACTGTATAATCTCATCCTGGATCCTCATCGGTATCCCCCAGTGACAATCCCCAAACCAAGGCACGCGCCTAGCCCGTTGACTGAGGTCACCATCGGCCAGGGGGGTCGGAACTGGCAATCGGTCCCTGACTTGTCCCCCTCGCCTCCCCGTACCACGACAGGGGGTAAAAGTGAACCGCCGGCTGGTGAGCGTGGGAGGTTCCGACGGTCTCTTGGGTTCTCCGCAGGGGGCATCGAGGCATGCCCAGCTGGTTGACACTGCACACTCCCCAATATCAGCGTTGGACGGGGGCCTGGATCTTTCTACCTCTGGCTGCAAGGTCACATCCACACTGGACTTACGACGTCTACCAGCTTGTGTGTGTCTGTTAATTAGCGGGATGGCTGCTCTTTTCGGTCAGGAGAAGGAGATTTTTTGACGTTCCATACGAGATCGATCCCCCGAG